AGCTATGAAAAAGAGAGGTTCAGCCATCTTTGCAGCAGCTGCTACTCATGGGGGCTCTGCACTGCCTTATTCATGACTCAAGCTGCAGTTCTGCTCAGAGAGAAGCCGATTCCAGAACAAAAGAACGGAGAGAGAACAGTGCGAACTGGCAATATTGGATCACTATTTGGAGACTCAGTGTGTGCATTAACAGCACGGCTATATCCCCTGCTATTGTTCAACCAGTGATGAAACTCAGGAAGAGCTGTTCAGTCAGTCATGCAGAGATGAGTGAAAGACTGGTAATAAGTAACTAGGGTTTGTTACAGCACACCATGGTGAACACGTTAACTTTAACTCAGCAAGGCTCACGCCATGCTTGTCTGGTTCATGCAGGTACTCATTGCCATGAAAAGGCAATTAGAAATTGCCTAATTGTTCTCTACACACCTCAAAAAATAATTAATAAATATTAAGACTCCATGGAATTTCCCTTCCTGGATATTGAAAGAAAACCAAAACAGCAAAAAGCAAACCATTCCTTTATCAACAGAGAGAAGGCTATGTCCATGTAACTACAGTAAAAACAAGCATTTGAGGCCGGGGGAAGAGGAACTACAAGGCCTATTGAATTAAAGAAAGGCTTAAGGTAACTGCTTTTCTCAGCCCGATTAGACTAGCCAAGGGCTCACATAATTTTTATCAATACTTTGGTCTGAGATTTCTTTCATTCTCTCTAAAGTCAGGTATTACCTGAGAAGACATCATGTTCCCCCTGACTCAGGAAGACTTGTGTTTTATGTCGTAATTTACTAGAACAGTGATTATGTGCAAGTGGGAGAATTTCACAAGCAAAATGTCTTGTCAGTGAAAATAGCAGCTTTACTCCTACATTCACTTAGCAGCAGGAGGCAGAAAGTGTCTTGGGGTTTTTGAATTATTGCTGAAATGAACTCCAGATGCCTGCAGAAAAGACTGCTAAATATATACCTAATTGCCAGTTTCTTTTGTCTTAGGCCTGCTGCTAAACAACCTTCGAACAACAGCATTTGATACATTTTGAATTCATTATTAGCACCTTTATGCAAAATTAAACAGCACTTGTGCAAAGCCAGAGTACAACAGCACGCCAGTGCTTCAGAAGCGATGTCTCTGGAAGTCAGTCTTGGGTATTCACCTTCCCATGTGGGGGAAGTTTTCATACAAATTATAGTCTTCCTTTAACATTATGTGCACACCAGTTTTATACCACTCAGTTTTTATGCTAGAAAAATTTGCATATTTATGTAATATTAATCAGGCACCAAATTTTGCTATTTTGAATATTCAGCAAAGGAGAGCAAAACTATGCTTCCTGGCCTGTGGCCACTCCAATGACTCATCTTTGCTGACATGCAAACTAATGAGGGTGAAGATTTAGAATTGCTGTTTCACAGAGAAAAGGGATTTGGGAGAGACAAGCTCGTATGTCCCATGCTTCATCCAGGCGAAGCCTGACTCCCACATGCAATGCCCACAGTACAGCTGAGAACTAGGCAACTGCTCTGTGATCGGAGGTGTATGTCAGGGGAGCCATTAGGAGTTCATACATCAAGGCTTTGGTCTTAAAAACTGAAGATCATATACACCAAACCGAACCATTTGCATATTCAAATACATCCCTGTGTTCTCCTGTTGATGAAGGGAGAGGAGAGGCGGAGGGATTGCCACTCCATCAGCAACACAGGAGTACACAGCATCCCGTCAGCTGCTGCACTCCTGTGATACACAATCCCTCTGCCTTCCAGAGTCTACGCCGATCTCTTCCATCCCAGCAGCAAACCCCACCCTTGGTGGTAACCTGCTGCCCTCATCAGCCCAGTGTTCAGTTCCGAGAAAGCAGACATCAGCAACAGAAGGTACTGTGCAGCCCTCCTCCCCAGACGTACTCGCCTCCACTTTTACACTGCTTTCAGCACAGCGGGCCAGCGCCGCTCTGTAAAGTGACACTTAGACATGGGTCAACCTGAAGTGCAAGGAAATGCTGCTGTCACCTAATGTACATAGGAACGGACAGGCACATCCAGTACAGCAGCACAAAATGCCACAGCTGTAAAGCAGAGCTCAAGTTTTGACACTTGCTAGACTGCACTGGTAATCTCTTCCGGGGCTCTTCAGCTTAGGATGCCTGATTCCCACTATGCACGTCAAACTTTAAATTATAATTTAACTAGTCCTAGCAAGGGCTTCCCGCATAGTGTGACACTTGGCTGCAACACTTCACAGAAATCACTCGAGACAGCATGAACCTCCAGTTTCTGAGCTTCGGTTCCAGTTATACACACACAGTGTTATTTTAAAGACTTCAGGTTGAAAGTGTGAACTTCACAAAACTTGACTCCCATAGCAAGGATGTAAGGGATGGGAAATTCTGGACCTTGCTGATTTTCGGATGTCTCAAGAGAAAAAGCATGTTGGACAGCTGCTTCCAGTTAATGTGTGAAGACATTTAAGACCTCCTTCAAAATCATGCACTCTGGACAAGATTAAGCTGCTCTTTGTTGACTATTCAGCAAAGCAACCACACAGCAGTGCTCTGGTCAAGTTTGGGTTTGAATAACAAAAAGTTTCAAGTCAGCAGTTCCTTCTTTGCCATTTCAAATATGCAGAGTGAGGTTTAGATGCTGGAGTCACAGCTAAACATGTAATACAGCTGACAGAATCACAGAATGACTGAGGTTGGAAGAGACCCCTGGATGTCATCCTGTCCATCCCCTTTACTCAGCCTGGGCCACCTGTAGCAGGCTACCCCGGACCATGTCTACGATAATTCTTCTGTGTTCTGTATTCCATGATGATTCTACGTCCATGGCTCCTGAATATCTCTGAGGATGGAGACTCCACAAGTCTCTGGGCAAACTGTGCCACTCTTCAGTCACGCTCACAGTGAAAAAGCATTTCCTGATGTCCAGGTGGAACCTCCTGTGTTTCAGTGTGTGCTCATTGCCTCTTGCTCTGCCACTGGACACCACTTAAAAAAGCCGGGCTCAGTCTTCTTTACACTCTCCGTTCATGTATTTTTATACGTTATAATACCTATTCTGAGCTTTCTACTCCCTATGTTAAACAGTCCTACCTGTCTCAGCTTCCCCTTGTGTGAGAGGTGCTCCAGTCCCTTAACCAATCTTAGTGATCCTTCGCTGGACTGTCTCCACCAGCTGGGTATCTCTCTGGTATCCCTCCTGCCCAGAACTGGACACGGTACTCCAGGTGTGACCTCACCAGTGTTGAATAGAGGGAAAGATCATCTTCCTCAATCTGCTGGTGCCCCCCTCTCCTATTGCAGCCCAGGATCCCCTTAGCCTTCACCATGAGGGCACACTGCCAGCTCATGTCCAACTTGGTGTCAACCAGGACCCCCAGGTCTTTTGTGCAAAGCTGCTTTCCGGCTGGTCAACCCTCAGCACATACTGCTATAGGACCTTGCACTTCCTTTGGCTGAACTTCATGAGCTTCCTGTTGGCCCAATTCTTCAGTCTGTTGAGGTTCCTTTCCTCCGAGTGGCTGCACAACCCTGTGGTGTATCAGCCTCTCCTCGCAGGCTGGAACATAAGTAAACTTGCTGAGGGTGCATCATTAAGTATTGACTCCTAGGGTCCACTGCCAGGTACTAGCCCCCACTGATCACCACCCTGTGGACTGGGCTGTTCAGCCAGTTTTCACTTTACCTCACTGTTTGCTCACCCAGCTTCTCTCTCGGGATCTTCTGGGTGGCAGTGTCAAATGCCTTACTGAAGTCAGGGTAGCCCATATCCACTGCTCTTTCCACATTTACGAAACAAGTCATTTCATCATAGAAGGTCATCAGATTGGTCGAGTATGACTCCTCCTTTGCCTCTGCCTTTATGAACTCATCCAATAAGCATCTGGCTGAGTCTTCCCTGAAGCAGAGTCATGTACTGCAGTCTCCAGTGGCAGAACTGCACCAGTGGAATCGGGTCCTCCCTCCATTTCTCAATATAAACAAGGATGCAACAGCAGATGAAATCCTATGAGCAGGAGTGCCATCATGTTTCCTATCTGAGATGACGCAAGCAGAAAAACTAGCTTACTTCATTTACAGAAATTCAGTGAACCATCATGTCAGCTTCAAGGAAGGATTGAGGAAACGGAAGCAAAGCTGTTTAAAAAACAAATAATTGCTTCACGGAAAAAATAACAACCATTTTCAAACACACAGTTTGTGTGTCTACCCATTTTCTCCTCTTTTCATGGTCCTTCACCAGCTCACTGCGCAGTGGGGAACAGACATTATTATATTATCTCTGGAGTCATTAAACACTAAATGAGACTTCTACATTGTACTGTTAAGCAGATGCTGTGACGACACAGCTCCTTAAGGGCACCGTGGTCTTATCCTGTTCACATTAACAGAAACCTAAAGAGATATCACTATAGAGGATTTGAAAGGAAACTGTGGCAGAGAGGTTGATATTGGCATCTGAAAATTCTCTGCATGCTTAAATAAGGAGTTTGGTGGTAATGTCTCTAAATAAAACTATCTAAATAAAACATTTCCGGCATTCTTGGTGCTTTGCAAAAACAAAACCATCACTTCTACCTTCTGATGCAATGACAGATCTCTCTTGCTCTCATAGGGACACGAATGCAAGGTGCACTGAAAGCTAATGAGAAGATCCTAGCTTCAAGCTTAGCCTCTGCTCAGTGCCTTTGGCGAATAATATTTTATTTCTCCTCTATCTTCTTACTAACACTGGTGACCAACTGCTAACCTAAAGCTATGTGGTCTCCAACTCACTTCTGCCTTAAAACCAGCAGAAGCCCATATATTTCGCGTCTAGCACACAGTAAACACAATGGCCCTCTAGCAAATAGGCTGTTTTAGCACCTCGTTATGTCTGAAACTCTTTGTGGTGCTTTGGGAAACACAGTAATGTCAATGAATCATGTTCAATTACAACACAGTTATTTCCAAACTTGTTTGAAGCTTAGCATTTGAGGAAAACAATATGCTTACTCACCATAACGGATATATGCCAAGCCTACTGACAATGAAGACAATGGCAAATGTAAGGAACAGAAGGTCACTCAGTTTTTGACACTTGCAATAGTTTGCCATTTTGGCAGCCTGCAAAAGAAAGAAATGCCTGTTTACTTCTGTGAGGACAACTGAGTTCTCTTGTACTGTGTATATGCTGTAAGAAGAAGAAATCAAATTTTTATGAAATGGCTAACATTTTCATTGGGCCACCTCACAGTGACCTTATAGCTCCTCTCCACCAAGCAGCGGGAAAATGTCTTCTCAGGAAAAAAAACAGACTTAATCTCGCATTTCTTCCTTCTGCATTCAGTTTCCTTTTTGAAATCCTACAATTTCAGATACACAAAACTCTTCTAAACTCCACTGTGTTTATGTTCAGATAGGAATTTTGGATGATGGCGAAGTAAAAAAGCTGGCTTCACAGTATGTGGAGCTGGTATTGCTATAGCAATTTGCAGTAGTATACCATTTCTTAAAAACAGTACAGCTGTTGGGTCATCAGTTCTCAAATAACAAATCTACAAATGATATTGATAAGCAAGGACTATAAAAAAAATGGAAAGAGTATGTTGCTTTTGGATGCACCTAATACAAGACACTTGTCAAAACCTAAAAACTGTGATTAGAACGAAATAACACAGCTCTTCCAGATACTCTTGCTAGTCTAATTAATTCATCTATTTTACTGCACAGCTACTTGCCTTGGTCTGAAGTGTCCATTCCCTGCTCTTTCAGAAAAGTGTGTTAGGAGATAGCTGAAACCTTACAGAAAGGATTCAGGTTGAACTGTCAGCTGTGTGAGGCTCACACACCAGAAGCAGATCGAATTGGCAGCTATTCACATCCAAACACTGGCATCAAAACTGTCACAGGGTTCATTAAATGAAGCTGAGAAGTCTCAAGATCACCCAAAAGGTTGAATTTTAAGGTTAGGTCATGGCATTTCCAACCCACAAGCTGCACTGCAGTGCAAAGATATCCAAGACCCCACAAACAACTTAGGCAGGATTCTCAAAGTTGTCTCTCAGTAGATTAGATTTTATTTTAAGCTAATGTAATGGCTTCTGAGGCAAGCAAATACCTGTATGTTTGGTCTATACTGCCATGGCTAGGCTGCTTTGAATATCCAAGGTAACTTTCACTCAGACCTAAGAGGACAGCTATGTATTACCGAAAATCCTGCTGGCTCTTCTGTACCTGCAGATACCTTACAACCTATGGAAAAAACCTCACCTTCAGTATTCCTACCCATATACACTACTTCCTGCAATGAGAATAGAAAAAATGCTGCATTCCAGATTTCCACTGGACATATTCCTTATGAAATGGTAAGTGGAAAGAGTCTAGTGGCCTCTGGAACCAGTTTTTCATTTTTACCAATACATAAAATGTAAAACAGGTCAGGTGCATAAGCGACCCACCACAGTAAGATATTTTACCAGCTTCTTTTGCAGTTTGATAATCTTCTTCCTTTGCACTGACTTTCCTGACAGTAATGTCAGCAGTGGGTGAGTCCATTTTCTCCCATACAGCACCAGGGCTGGCACCCACTGCACTAGTACAAGTCTGTTGAGTGAGCTTAATGGCCCTCCCAGTTAATGCTGCTCAGGGCTTGCGATTCTTTTTCTTATACTTTAGAATAGCTTTAGTATTTCCAGTCAGAATAGACGGAATGAATTGACTACAAAGACCACTGAATTATGTGTCTCATTCTTGTTTGCTGAATGTTTGCAAATCATGTGAGAATACCAGCAATTTCTCTTTGCCTTAGCCAGTGAACAGAGAAACTGAGCATTAATGTGCATCTCTCCGTGTTCAAGGTGAGTTTTTAGCTAGCCTATTATAGCTGCTATCCAGCTGTAACAGACAGCTGTAATTCCACAGACACTGGTCTGACCTCGAATGAACACCTTCAAGTACATCCTTCTCGGGTGAGAAAAAAGGAATGAAGAAACTTTGCGTGAACCCTCAATTAACAAAATGGATCTCCACACATTGCTACAACAGAAAAATCAATGTGTAAGGATGTAATTATCTCTAACAGGAAAAATACAGGTTCACTGTTGCTTTCTATCTCAGGCAGTCATGTGCCTTCTAGATTAAAAAAAGATTTTAAAAAACTCCCAGATTTACAGCACTATTAAAGAATCAGAATGGCAGGATTTTGATTCTGCGATAGGTGACTCACACAACGAGACTATATTCTTCCATAACAGGAGGCTTGCAACTCCTTTAACAAAATATATTTTCAGACAAAATAGTAATTAACTTCGGTTTGATCCTGATGGAGAGTTCACAGCCTAATCCCAGCATCATATAGAGCTGTCTGAAAACTTATACAGATATAAGATGACAACATCTCTAAATTGTCACTATGGAAGTTACAGGCCATCTTGACTTAAAAGAATTTCAATTATCCCTTAATACTAGATGTGGAGGCATGGGAACCTGGAAGGTCCTGGGACCCGAGGTCAGCTTGCTGTCCATGTACAAACAGCCACTAAATTGTTCAGCGCCCTCTTGCCCAGCATGGAACGGCAGAAACAAACCGCGACACCTTGATTCTTTTGGAGACAGGTTCTTGCTCTACATACCACATCAGAGTGGTTAAGAACAAGGAGCTTCTATCCCATAGTCACCTCTTTCCAGATTTTGCAACTTTGAGCTTCTGACTTTATCATATTATATTTAAAATCTGTGTGTAACCCTCCCTGGTATGCAATGCACCACCAGTCTCTGCTCTGTACAAGTCATTTACATGCACTGCTACAAGTGTAATATATTTCAGCAAGGATGTACACTATATATTAATCACCACTACCACCTTAAACTGGACTCTTTGCTTAGAAAATACTTGTTCTGCATAGCAAATAGCTTCTACTTACTGACACGTTAACTCTCTGAAGAGTGAATATCAGGTACAGACATTGCGGACATATGTATTTTCTCACCTCTAGGACAACGTCAGCCGCATCATGGAGACATAAGGTCAAGGTTCCCACTCGTGTCAAATTGGTCACATATGAGAAGGTTATCAGGGTGACTGTTACAATATGATGTGTAAACATGATGCCAAAATCCTAGAGCAGCAAGAAGCAGGGGGAAAGAACAAAACAAAACAAAAAAAAAGAAGTAAGCAAAAATGGAAGGATTTTTTTTAAACCCAGCATTATGGTTATGTTACATGAAGCTCCTGCTACATAGGTGTGTTAACTATCGTGCTATATATTTCATTTAGACTGAATAGAATAATCATTGTACATTAACAAAATACATAATTATTGAAAGCTGGGCAATATTTACACTTCTCAGTTCACAGTAATTTAACCTAATGAAGTAAATAATTGTGGCTGAAGTTACTCTGAAAAGGCATACATATACACAAACCAAATTACACCATATTTTTTATTCACCAAGCAACACACAATATGCAGAATAACACACCATTCACAAGAGTTCAGACAGCTACAAACGATGCGGAAACACGTTTCCATGGCACTAGGAGTTATCAACAGTCACCTGCCAAGCACGACTGAGAGCTTTCACAGCGCTGAGAATCCCAAATCCAGTTTTTCACTTGTTTATTTTCAATGAAGCTGCTTTGTCTTCACACACTAACAGGGTCAGAAAAGTTTTGAATGAGCTGGTGCAGCTCCTGCTACTTAGATCTAACACGGTGCCTCCCAAATGATGCAGGTCTCCAGATTAGTAACTCCTGAGTTATTTGGCCAGCAAGTAACTGTTACTATTGAAAATTACTGGGTATGGCTAAGCTCTTACAACATCACATTCCCAGATGAATGACAAGGGGTAGGCAAAGCAGAGGGAATGATCTGTGTGCCCGGCCTAGACTCCCAGATCAATTACTGAGAGAAAAGGACCCACAGAGATGAGACTCTTCTCTGCAAGGCACCAAGTCAGTGCAGAAGTAGTCTTGCTGGAGTTTGCTGAACTACCCACAGTTTCTGAGAAAGTGATATCAAAACCCTGAAGGAAAGATCACAGGCACCATTTGACTGGGGAGTAGCTCCATGCACCAGGTGCAGTTACTACCACAGCTCTCAGTAGACCTAGTGGCTCTCATGCAGGGCTCTTGAAGGGAGAGAGATCCAGGCAGGCAGAAGTAGCAGCTCCTCCAGGCAGCCTGCTTGCCAAGCATCTGGGAAGGCGGAATTTGGCTTTCTTGAAGGTTCCATGGGCCAGCCATGCTAAGCTGTGGTAGTCTTCAATGAAATGGCCCACAGCAGAGAAAGTGAAACTGAGACCCTGCAGTCTTTAGCGCGGCAGCAGCTGGTTTGCAAAGGGACTGTGTGTTGGGCAGGAGGGCCTACAGAAAGTGCTGGTGAGCTCCAGGGTCAGCTCTGGAACAGTTGCCAAGTGCTTTGTCCCTCCAATACTGGGAAGAACAACTGCCCAGTGCCACCGTACCTCTCTTCAGGAATTCAGCAGGCACGTAGGAAGCATCAGTTTTCAACGGCGTGGAGGGATGCTCCCTCTTTGTACCAACACTTGGCTTCACTGCAGTGTACACCTAAAGCCTGGGGAAAAACCTGCAGCTGAACAGGGACAGGACCTGCTCCCAGCCTAACACTTTGTGTTTCATGCTGTCAGGTGCTACAAGGTCCTGTT